AATATATAGTGAGTTATTTTTAAAACTTATATTTAATTTATTTTATATTTCTAAATTTACACCCTTATCTATCTACATTATATTATATAACATGTAAAACGATTATTATTGAATTTTTAGGAGGTATAAATTTTGATCCGTTATGTACAATTTTTAAACTTTTACAACCTCCAGTTTCAACATGATAATTAAAAATAAAATTATTTTTTATTATTAAATTACATTTTATATCTTTATAATTAGTTATTTAATTTACTTTATGTAACTATATATTAACATATGTAACTATATATTAACACAATTTTATTAAAAAAACGTTTATTTTTGTTGTAAGTTATACCGTTATAATCATCTCTTCAATATATTCAAAATGAACCCAATATCGAATATTTTTGAATTTAATAATATTATTAAATATGATAAATACATACTGATGTTTTTAGTATCTTAATTTTTTATTTTTATTTTCTATTTTACACCTTGTCTATTTATACTATATTATTTATTATTGTTGTTGAATTTTAACTATCACCTATGTATTATTTACAAGTTTCTAAAGCCCCACACCTTACCATCCCCTTATTTTCCGATTTCCCCCACAATTCTCTCCCCGCTACCTTGAATTACTGTCCACGTTTCGTTGTCCATGAACCAATCGGGTAAAAGAAAAACTACAAAACTCTCAATTTTGGGATAAAATCGGCCATCCAGATACAAGGAAAAAAGACATCCACCCCCTCCAACCTTTCTCTTATGCCATGGAAATCACTCCATCCACCATCGTCACTAAATCATAATCATGTTCCAAAACGGCGGTCTTAAAAGCCCATCCTCACGCTTGGATCCACCAGACATATCCTCACGACACGCCTCTATTCCAATCCACTGTCTCACCCAACCTCCATTTCAATATTTCGATTTTCGTCCTCCATCTCGCCGCTCTTTCTTTTACTTTCACTGCTGCCATTTTATGCTCACCACCAATACTTCACATCCGATTCCCCTCGTTGGTACGATTTTGGTGCCTACCCGTAAACTACTCCCTTTTGCTTTCAACAGATTAATTTAAGAAATTCTTCAGAAAACTAACAAAATTACACCTCTATAGCTTCGTTGTTGCCGCTCATGCAATCAACACTTTGTATTCATTCTTCGAAATTGGAGCTTCTATTTGGTAAATTTCTAGAGGTTCCACCATTTTCTAGAGTTTTCTCAACTCTGGTTCGATTTCGGCCATGACCAGGTTCTCATTTTTCACTTCCAGTATCTTCTTCTCAAGAATTTCCCCGTATAGAATCAATGTTTGCATGTGTAAAAGGCCAAATAGTTGAACTCGACAGGCGTTTTCTATAGGTGTTTGCCAACTTGTTGCTATTGGTGGGATCGGTGGGGACGTAGCTTGCCAGATAACTGAGAGGAATTCCCACGTGTACGACAAATAACCCGTTAAAAGACTTGCAGGTTCACAGAACAAGAAACGAGTTTGCTCTAATCAATGCAGATGAAGTTGGAAGAGTAAGTCAAAAACTTCTTTCTTATTTCTCAAAATCTTAATTGGGTTACCTCTACTTACCCTAATTCTCTTCTCGGTTTTTGCGTTTTCTTTTATCTAGATTTATGTCTCTGGATAACTTAATTTCAGTTCTTGGTATCAAAATTTTGGTTGTAAGATGGAATGTTCAATCTTTTCTGTATTAGTTTATGTCGAGGGTTTACACTATAATATAATAATTTATCTCTTGGCTATCATCTCCATTTTGGTTTTGAGTTTATCCGTATCTCAAATGTTTCTATTTGATTTCCTATATCGTCTTTCATTTTATTATTCTTGGATAAAGGCTCATTTTCTTATTTGTATTTTAAACATGTATAAGTTTAAACCACACATTAAAAAAAAATACCAAAAAACACCTTTAATATTATTAACAATTTTGAGATGCTGAGGTCTACGACGGATTATTTACTTTTCCCTTCGATGAACTGATCTTTAATTGTAATCTTAATAACAATAAAATAATATGTTTTTTATTATGATATTCTTTTTATTATTAAAACACAATTACTATAATATATAATTAATTTTTATAATCAATAAATAATTATCATTTGTAGTCTGTCTGTATACCTAAATTACCAGTATTAAGTGTAGTCATCGATATAATTTTGATGCACATATTTTTCTCTTTGATAATTTTGCAAGTTTTTCCTTTAAATTTGTTTTATCGATTAACATCTAAGTAAAAACATATCTTTATTAAATAGTTGTATTAATCTTTTTGTTTCTAGCTGCAATAAAATTTTACATTTAACTGCAACATATTTCAGAAACAATGCTGACACACTCTTGTTGATTTTGATGACATGGTGAGAAGCCAATAAACTTTGCAGACATCAAAACTGACATCAATGAAGTCCCAAACAAGAAAACTCTTGGAAGTTGAATTTTGATTATTTATATATTATCTAGAATAAGCGGGAGAGAGGTTCTGCGGAAGAAAGTATAGAGAAATAATTTCAATAAGTTCAACAAGTTCAACATCATGCATGCTAGTCAATCTGACATTATAAAGTCGCACTATCTACAATTAATATTCATTCATCAACTATTTTATATTTTCAAGACGACGTATGTTAAAGAGGCTAATCTAGCATTTTGTTGACGCAATAAATTGCTTAAACTCATCGAGTAATTTTAATATTCAATACATTATCTCCTTTTACATAGTTCTAATTTTATAAGTTCGCTTTCCAGTTTTTTTTTTTGTTTGAAAAGTATAATACTATGATATTTTAAATGTTTACAAATACCGTTGATCTTTCAAAGATGAGATGAAAACTGAAGTTGTCAAAACAAAGTCCCCAAATTCTTTTATGATTTAAAGATGAACTATTTCTTAAAAAAAAAACCTATTTGATGGATGATTTTTATAGGTTTCAACATTCGTATTTCTCATTTAGTTATCAAAATATCATTTTACTTGCAAAAAACACAATAATTTATAGGGTATAATATTTTATAATTAATTAATTATTTTTTTTTAATTAAAAATAAAATTTTATATTTAACTATATTGCAGCGAGTATAATTACAAAAAAGTACAACCGCCAATAATACGAAAATCCAAAGCGAAATACAACTTGCCTCAAAGCGCAATTACAAGTCTACCCTTTATAATTTCTTTCAAATTGTAGAAAAAGGTACAACCGCCATAAACATCAGATGCAAGAGCAAGAAACAGAAAAAAAGTTGGTCCTAACAAAGAAATACCAAAAGAGAAAGGGTACACTTTGCACTCCACAAAAATAAGAAGGGTTAAACTATGAAATATTTAAAAAAAGAAGGGCCTAATATGTAAAAAGTAAGTCGGAGTTAACAAGAACAAGCGACTCGATGGACACCACGATCTCTGAGAATTCCAGAGTAGAGAGCCATCCTATTTGCAGGGAGACCCTTAAGATTTCTCGATAGTTTCTTTTGACCCCCTTCATCTTTGAATATTGACAAATAATTCCTGTTTTGATTAATATTCTTACTTTTAAGTCTTCTCCTAAACTCATCTCCATTTCCACTTGGTTCCATGACATCCTCTGCAAACTTCACCTTTTTGTTCTTCTTTTTCCCCTTCTTCTTCTTCTTCCCATCTGCATCACAATCCAAAACCCCAGAAAGAAAATCTCAATTTTGACTCAAAAATGTCAACGGTCACTTCACCCAAAAGAAAATTTAAAGAATAGAGGAACCTGAAGAGATGCAGGGTCTTGTGGGGTAGACGACGGCGGTGGTGGTGGGTTGTTTCTGGAGGCAGATGGCGAGAAAAATAGCTGTTCCGGCAGCCATGGCGGTGGCTAGAACCACCCCATTGGAGGGCAACATGATGGGAAGTTAACAATCTGTTGGGGTGATTGTAGCAGATCAGAGAAATGGGTATGAGATTGAGATCGAGAGAGATCGATAGAATTGAGATGAAGTCATGAAGAAATTTGAAGTCAATGCGTGTGTTTGTGGGTGTAAAGTGTTTTTATATTAATGGGAGAATGCGATTCAGGAAATGGGGTTCTATAGTTTGGTTTGAGGGTAACTTCTAGAGGGGATGAACGTGATGTTTATATATAGGATAAGGGTTCCTATGCTTTGTTTAAAGTTTTCGAGATATGTCGATGGTTTTTAACTTTTTATTTTTATAACATCTACGTTTTTTTTTTCCGGTTAAACAAGGTTTATTAATTCTAGACGTGTTTTTAACATGACGGTAATTTAGTCATTTCACCTCTTTTTTCTTATAAAAAATAACTTAAGATTTTATGTATAATATAATAAAGTAATATTAAATATCTCTCTTTTTCCAAACACGATTCTCCACCCTTCTGCAAATCGAAGTCGACAATGAAAACCCTCCTCTTTTTTGTAAATCAACGTCGACGGTGAAAGCCCTCTCCCCTTTTTGCAAATCGATGTCGGTGATGAAAACCCTTTCCCCTTTTTGCAAATCGATGTTGGCGTTGAAACCCTAGAGATTTTGGTTCATTGTTTGTTCTTCTTAATCTTATTGATGGACTTAAAGAGATATGAAAAAGAAGAACATCTATAAAATTAAATCTTGACGAAATTGTCCTTCACGTAAGGGCCACATGGGATGGCTAACACATGCTGAATCTCAAGTTAACACTACCAGTAAAATGAAAATGAAAAGTTAGGGACCTTCGGTGTAGATAATACGTTTAATGAACCATATCCAAGATTTGAGTAAACCATGAGAACCTTCAATGTAATTCACTCAAAATAGTAATATATATATATATATATATATATATATATATATATATTAATCTCAAAAATTATAATTATTTTTCATAAACGATTGATAAGTTATATATTAATCTGATTCTTTCTTTTAACAAAAAGGGCATGTTGTTGACTTGGTGTATGTTCTGATATTTTTGTTTTCTGTTAAAATAGTTTTAGTGATATTTTTATATGTATATACATATACTAAAACCTCATCAAGCCTATGATTTTATATCAAAATAGATATGGTATGAAGTAATGAATGATGAAACATATATGATGAACCATAATAGATACAAGCAAGGGCTAGAATGCGATGACGCCAGGCCATATATGGTCACCAAAGGGATTGGTCAGTGTACGTAAACATACGCACGATACAAGAGAAAGACGTATGTGCCGTTCTATGTGTGCCTCGCTAACGTTAAATAAGTCTAAAACATGTGTCATGAACCATATAAAGTCGCATATTAAAAAAAAAAAGTTTTACCAGAAAGTGTCAAGATATAATGTCAACGTTAAAACATGGCTTGTATTCAACATATTCTTGATGCAACACAAGCATGTATTCGGTCTAACTTCTAAGCAAGAACTTCATTTTTATTTAAGCATAATCACAACATTTTGCTTTGAAGGTGGGAAACTATCAGTTCAGGTAAAGAATAAAAATAAACCTAACGGAGGAAACTAAAAAAAACACAGTCAAATTATGTTGCAAAGAATACCTTATTCAATTATGAGTGAAAAATTTAAACAATAACAAAAAAGAAAGATTGTCTTCCATCATTACTACATTGCCTCAAAAAGCGAAGACCAAGTTGTAGGTCGCGTGACTTGTACCGAGTTGATGGCTGACTGGGCTTTTGATTTGATTAAAGCAGAGAAACTCGTCTAAAATTTAAAGTATACGTAATCTTATATGTTAATGTTTAAGAAGTTTCAATCGTTTTTGTTGTGGGTTTATACCCAAATGACAAGTTGTTAAAAATTTGGTGGCATAAGTTGAATGATTTGTGAAGGGGGGTGATGAGAAAAATATAAAAATAGGAGGGGTATTTTATGGAAGTATATTAGAAGATGGAGGGGGTAATACTAAAATTGCAAAAAGAAAGGAGATAGATATTAGATAATGGGTATTGTCTGCTTTTGGGGTGAACCGGTCGGCAAGACAACAAGTTTTCTGTTGATGTCTTTTCATTCGGTTGGCATCTCTCATATGCGGATAAAAATGGATATAATTTATACATGGAAATTGGAGATTTGAAATACTCAATCTTTTCTTCATTTATTTTTTAGATTTTTTTTAAATTAAAATATATATATATATATATATATTTATAGTTTAGTTTTTGTGTAATTAATTATTAAAACTTTGTATTTTTATAATTAGTTATTTAATTTATTTTATATTCTATATTTTATACATTTATTATAGTAACATACATAATCATATATTAACTAAATTATATAAAAAATATGTTTTTTTTTTACAAATTACACTATTATAATCGTATCGTCACTACATTCAAAATTGGTTCAATATTGAATATTTTTTTGTTTTAATCATATTGTTAAATATGTACGGGTTATTTTTAAGGATAATCACGAAAATAGCCAACTTATAGATATTGTATTAACAAAATAATCATTTTTTACGAATTTTTTACACAAAATGACCACAAGGATCACCCCCGGGTGGCATGTGGACCATACGGGGGTAATTTGACCAAAAAGTACCAAAATGGGGCTCACATGTATCTGGTTTGGAGGACAAAAAATATGATTTTTATAGAACACTTGGATCGCCCCCACCTAACCCCTGGATCGCCCGGGGGCGATCCTACGTACACCTTTGACTGTTATTTTGTCTTTTAGTGAGGACATCGATTTGACAGTTAAAGGGTGTTTTTCAATAAACGAGGGACGATTTGACTAGTATTTTGTCTATTTTAAGACCAAATATTGTGGTTTTTTTATATAAAATCAAACACTTCTACTCTCACAGCTCGTAACCCTTAAACACAATCTACCATCACAACCGTTAACACAATATAAAATCATGTCAAACTTTATAACTTTTACTACTTTTTTTAAACGCATAAATGAACCAACAAATGTTTTTATATTTTCTTATAAAAATTATATTTTTTTATGACCACCGAATGTTAATAGTTTTTAATAATTGTTGATACGAAAAAATTATTTGTATCTGATTGGGGGGACAAAAATAAGATATTATATCTGAAAAATGCCATATTTTTATAACCCCCTATTTGACAATCTATTTTGTCTTATTACGTAACGATTTATATAACTAGGCGATCGGAAGGGATCATTATCACCATCCCCATCTACATCCACCACCGAGCATATAGAAACACACCCCTCCAGCATTCCAATCCCCCTCGACCACCGATCACCGTTGACCACCGACCATCGATTACCGAACAGGCTTTCAGGACGAATCTTGTAAGCTTTTATGACGAATATTGTCAGATACGATTTAACAAGTCCATGACAACTTTATGACACGATTTTACAATACAATGACAGCTCTAGGGGTAGGGGCGATAGTACATAATTAGGGGATAGAGGTCAGGCTTTCAGGACAAATCTTGTAAACTTGGGTAGGGTGTGATAGTGTATATATAGAATGCCTCATAAAACAAAAAATCACAACTTCATACCGACCATATTAAATCTTATACAATTACTTGTCCACTTCCAGCAAGAAATGGCTGAAAACCCATCATCATCAAACCCCCAGTCTTCTCAAATCATGCCTACCAGGATGAAAAAATCCATAAAAAAAAATTGAAGCAAAGATCAAGGAGATCAGGGATGATTAGTGGAGAAACATGGAGATGTAGAGTAAAATGGAGGAAGCGATTGAAGAGAAGAAGATGCATATAAAGCAATTGTCGGAAGAGATTCGAGCTGAGAAAAAACTTGTGAAGGACATAGCGAAAGGGTACCCTGTGATGTAAGAAATAATCAATGAAAAACAGTACTGGATTGAATGTTGCAAACAACTTTATCCAGAAGGGAATTAGAAAGCATCTTTATGTATTAATGTTGTTGTTTTCATTGATGTTTTCATGGAAATGTTATGTATGAATGTTGTTGTTTTCGTTGATGCTCTTATGAAATGTCTATGTATTAATGGTTAATCTTCATGTATTCAAAGTCAAACTGCCATTTAGTATTCAAACAACAAACCTACAATATGACAAAAACATTTACTTACTTAAATCGTAAGTATCAAATACATAGTCTTGTGTAGTATCATACTGAGACGGACCACAATCGGTTGTTCGACTAATTGATCTTCGACGACTACTTGAACTTCCGTGCGTCGGCCTAGGAGCTGGCATCGGACTTGGACAATTATAACAAAAATGTCCACTCTGGTGGCATCGACTGCAAGTTTTCACCATTAGTTCCTCGTCTCATGGCGGGAAACAGTCGCGGTTCTGTGATCTGCCAGGGTTTTGTATGTCCATTGGAGGTGGTAGGACGATCATACCTTCGTTGGGAAACACATATTCAGCTGCTGGTGGAAGGGGATTTACTTCCTCCTCGTATGTTGCCCGATAAGAATAAGAGTTGAACCAAATCGAACAAAATTGACTATGGTCTTTAATATCTAAACATCGAGCAACAGATGTTACATGACCGCAAAGTATACCAAAAAGTTGCCATTGCAGGCATGTACAAGTCTTAGCATGCAAATCGCACTTTCTGCTGTTATACCTGTCATCAACTTCAAATAACAACTCTCTACTAGGATTCCCTCCATGTTGCACTCATATGGATTCTCTTTTCTGTTTTTGCATCCGCCCAAGGTGTCGTTGCATTTATCATTTGGGCTGTAAATGAATGATAACATTAGCCTATGTTACATAATCATACATATAGCTTTAGATGGTTGCATTTACCTTTGTCATGCTGATGTATAAAATACCATTGTTGCAATTTCGCCTGATAAAATTCAACTAACATTATAATGCAATCCAGGGAAGTGCGATCTTGACCATCTAGTACAATCAGCTTCCTCAAGATATTGAGCGGTGTTAGGTAGACTGTGCGGCATCAAGTCCATTATAGCTTCAAGGTCCGACACCCTATAAGTTTTGCATGCCTCCCAGAACATTCACGTTTTTCTTTTGTCTTTACTCGAGGTTAGGCACAAGTTCTGGCTCAAATAATAACAACAAAGTCCGTGGTACACGTTGGGGAATACAGTTCTTATGGTCAACTTGATATAGTCAGCACTGTCGGTTACGAAGGTTAAATTGGGCGCTTCATT